TTATGCTCAACACTGCAATTCAATATCAAAGTGTCTTTGACTCATATCATCAAAATGATCCATCTTTTTTTGCTGACTTGGGTTCTGCACCTTCTTTCCTGGATTGACAGACTGTTGAAAGCTTAATGAAGCTTTTGAAAACTTTTTATGAAATGACAGTGAGAATATCTGGTTCTCTTTATGTCACTTCTAACACATTCTTCTCTGAGATCTCTGATATAAGTTGCATGCTGGAAGATATGACTAAAGCTGAGAATACTGAAAAGGTAAAACCCTTGTGTTTATTTGAGTATAACTTGTAACTATTTTAAAATGTTTATGCTTTCTGAGTTTCTGTATTTATTAGGCAATGGGGACAAAAATGAAAGACAAGTTTGATAAGTACTGGGGAGATCCAGAAAAAATTGCATGAACCATCTCATTTTCTTTGCCAATATTCTGGACCTCAGAGATAAGGAGGAGTACATGCCTCACCAGTTTGTCCAGTTGTATGGAGATGTCAAAGGCAAAGATTGTTTTGCCAAGGTCCAATATGCAATGGTTGCATTGTATAATGACTATGCAGCTACACACTCTGACAGTTCATCCTCTAACCAACCTGTCCAGTCTCAGGCTACTAGTTGTACAGTTGGTAGGCCTGTCTCAAGGATGAAGAGTGAACTTAAAAAAAAAAAAAAAAAAAAAAAAAAAAAAAAAAAAAAAGAGAGAGATTGGAGAGTGGTGGTGAAAGCAGTAAGCAGACAGAGCTACAAATTTACTTGAGTGAAAATCTGGTTGAGGATGATGAATCTGTGAGTTTTGATGTTCTAAAGTGGTGGAAGAGTCATAGTGAGAGATTTCCTATTCTGTCCAAAATGGCTAGAGATGTGCTTGCAGTTCTTATTTCCACAGTTGCATCTGAGAAGTGGAAGGGTGCTTGATGCATTTAGGAGTTCCTTGACTCTTAAAATAGTGGAAGCCCTACTTTGTACACAAGATTGGTTGAGGTTACATAATCAGCCAATCACGCTTGAGGAAAATTTAGATGAGGTTGAAAGATTGAAGAAAGGTAAGAATATTTGTATTCATTTATTTTTTACTTTTGTAACTTGTAACTAAATAACTAATTACTTATCTGTTTTGCAGAGTTACCCACTGGAGCTGCATCTACTCTACCATCAATGCTGCCATCCATTCCTGCAATGTTTTCTATAATTATTATTTGTTTAACTAATTATTTATCTTTATCTGTTATGGTGTTGTACTGTTGTTTGTTGTTGGCCTTCACAAGATGAAACTCTAAGAGCCTTAACTATCTAAGTGGCTTGACAACTTTCTATAATTCTATTGTAGAAATGTTGCCCCACTTAGAGTTGAGCAGTATTGAGTACTGATGTCCCATTACTTCCATTCTGGATCTCTGGTATTCCTCTCATCCTCTGAATTGATCTCTGTTCAGTTTTAATGCATTATTATTTATTACTTATTTTTTTGGCTATGATGATGCTTCCACCCTTGTCTGAACAAATGGTATAGTGTTGCTATGTTGCTCATGTGCTATTATAACACATTTGAGCAATTTGCCACTATCCTTACTTGAAATGGGAAATTGCAATCTGAGCCTATAAGGCTATTAGCCTAATGCCCCTACAGCATAATATTGTTACTTAGTTAGTTGTTTACTAAATATGTTGTCTAATATTGTTTTAAGTTTTGATATTGACAGGAAGAAGTGTAGAAATGGTGATTGATATCAGCAGATTTGCTGAAAAGATGTTGATTGGAATGATTGCTGAAGTTTAAGTGATTAACTTCGAATATTGCATTTTTTTTATGTTTTGGAAGTTAAACACTTAAACTTAGATTAATTTTGTTTACTTTTTGCCATTTTTGTTGTAAAATTAAATTATTTAGCTCTGAAAATTATTAAGTTGTTGCATGTTTTATTTTGTTTACTTATTAGTTATTACTTATTTTGTTAATAGAGACTTTTTTTTTTTTTTGAAAATTTGTTAATAGAGACTTAGTATATCAGATATCAATATTATTTTGTTTCAGTTACTTATTTTGTTTCAGTTTTTCAATTATTAATGACCTTTTTGAAATTCGAATGAAGTCCGACATCTGATCCGTATAATCCGAAATCCGAGTTATCATATCCGATAGGGTTTTACGTATAAAAAATAACGGATTGGAGTTCTAAAATGCAATTCGAAATTCGATCGGATGAACGGAATACACACCCGATCCGATCCGATGTGCGCTCTAAATTCTTTACTATTGATGAATAATTAGTTGCATTACTAGGACTAGGAAGTGGGCTTTCTTATAGCCCACTTGATTACAGCCCATGATCAACCGTCATTTAAAAGGCCCATTCGATGGTATGCCAGTCGTTATATTATAGACCGCGGTGCATGTGCACCACGGTAAAAAACGGCGCCGTTTCTTTAAGTAAAGAAACGGCCCGCTGTTAGAGTTAACGGAGTCCGCTTGTTTGGTGTATTAAACACCAATTGACACTATAGTATATCTAAATCGAAACTGCAGTTATATCAAAATGATACTGTAGTTATAGTGAAATGAAACTGCAGTGTATATAAAATGAAACTGAATAACATTTCACATATTTGAGTGTATATTGTACAATGAAGCTGTAATTATATCAAAATGATCATGTAGTTGTGTTTTAATGAAACTATAGTGTATATAAAATAAAATTAAATAACATTTTCACATATTTGAGTCTATAAATATCGAATGAAACTATAGTTATATCGAAATGAAACTGTAGTTGTGTTGAACTGAAACTTCAGTGTATACAAAATGACACTGAATAACAGAGTTACTTTTCGCAAAAGGGTGCGAAACGGCGGAAACAAACACTGTTTATTTTCATTTAAAAAAAAAAAAAGAGGCACGGTGCATAATCGATTATGCACCGCGGTGCATAATATAATTTGCCATGGTATGCAGGCAAATTATACTCTAGACCGCGGTCCACAATGTATTATGGTCCAGACATCAAAACGGTACGGTTTCCTTCAATGAAAAGAAACGGTACCCATTCCGCAAAAAGTAACTCTATTTGTATAACATATTCAGTTTCATTTTATATACACTGCAGTTTCATTTCAACACAACTATAGTTTCATTTCGATATAACTACATTTTCATTCGACATTATACACTCAAATATGTGAAACTGTTATTCAGTTTCATTTTATATACACTATAGTTTCATTACAACACAACTACATTATCATTTCGATATAATTACAGTTTCACTGGACAATATACACTCAAATATGTAAAATTGTTATTCAGTTTCATTTTGTATACACTATAATTTCATTTCAACACAATTACAGTTTCATTTTGATATAACTACAGTTTCATTCGACATTATACACACAAATATGTGAAATTGTTATTCAGTTTCATTTTATATACACTATAGTTTCATTACAATACAACTACAATATCATTTCAATATAAGGGTGTGTTTGGAAACCTGAAAAATGATTTATGGAAATCATTTTCCGAGTTTCTAGTGTTTGGATGTGCCTGGAAAATCCAGTCAACGGAAATCATTTTCCATTGACTTTGGAAAATAGGCTTGTTTTGGGTGAAGTCATTTTCCAACTTTTACACCAACATCATACCACCAACACCATCAACACCACCAGTACAAGACCACACTACCACTAACACCACCGCCACCATACCACCGCAATCACCACCACCACTACCACCACCAACGCCATCAACACCATACCACCACCACCTCACTACCACCATCACCACTACCACTAGTACAATACCACACTACCACTGTTGTCGCTGCACCACCACCATACCACCGCAACGCCACTACGCCGCAACCACCGCCACCGCGATACCACCACCAGTTGTTATTATTATTATTATTATTATTATTATTATTATTATTATTATTAATTATTATTATTATTATATAACAAATAACACTACTACCACTATCACTACACCACCACCACCATACCACCACTACTATACCACTTATTATTATTATTATTATTATTATTATTATTATTATTAGGAATAATGTTTAAATTGCCACTGAACGTAACCTGAAAATGCAATTAGGTCTCTGAACGAAAAAAAAGTACAATTAAGTCACTAAACACTCCAGATGTATGTAATTTCACCTGATAGCAGGTTACCTACTTACATGACAACTGAGTTAGCATTTTTAATAATTTTTAATTTTTAATAAATTTTAATTAAAAAAAAAACGACGGGGTGCCTGCAAGCCACCCCGTCGTTTTATTTATTATTTATTTTTTTATTTTTTTAAAAATTTATTTAAAAATTATTAAAAAGTCAACTCAGTAAGCAAGTAACCTGCTAAAATTGATGGTAATTTGTGGGAGAAATTTCATACATTTGGAGTGTTCAGTGACCTAATTGTACGTTTTTGGAGTCTTCAGTGGCCTAATTGTACTTTTTTTTTTTTTTCAGTGACCTAATTGCATTTTCAGGTTACGTTAAGTGGCCAATTTGAACCTTATTCCTTATTATTAGTGTTGTTGTTTTGAATTAGGTGAGTTATTTTGATATCTTATTAATTATTTTTTATTATATTTAAAATTGTTATTATATTATTATATATGTTATAATATTCTAAATAAAATAAGTAAAATGTTTAATTATACAATTTTACTCATTTTCCAGAAAATGAACCAAACACACCAAGTTTTTCAGAATGTAACCAAACATCGAAAAGGAAAATATTTTCTAAAAAATGACTCATTTTCTAAAAAACATTTTTCAGAAGTCATTTTCTTACTTTCCAAACAGACGTAACTATAATTTCACAGAACAATATATACTCAAACATATGAAATTATTATTCAATTTCATTTTGTTTATACTGCAGTTTCATTTCGTAATTAACATACCAAATACACTGCTCCGCTAAGCTGTAACTGTTGTAGTTGCCGGACCACGATCCACGATATAATTGCTGATGGTACGCGTGCCTTCGATGTTTAGAGCCACCGTCTAAATGCAACGACGCGTGTAATTCACGCTCCGCTTGGCCATAATATTTCGCCATCGTCTTCTTTCCTCTGATGATCAACTCTCTCCCCTTTTCACTATTCCAACTCACCCTCTCTCCTTCTCTCCCGCAAAAGCCCTAATTTGATCCCTCGCCGTTAAAAATTGGGGTTCAGATGGACAAACAAGACGAGGAAGTGCCGATGAGGATCTATAAAGGCTCGAATTTCACGGGAGGTTGCTTAGAGATACGTTTGTTCTACGTACGGATTGCTCCTTGTACAGTTGACGCCGTACCAAACCACCTAATTCTCCGACATCTCCGCCGTGAGATGGGGGTGTGGTTGGAGATAAACGGGTCTCGCCTCCCTGCCTCCGATGCAGCCTCGATCACGCTCCGCCTCGATCGCGCCGATAAGGATTCATCGGAGGTAACTTACGTGAGCACCGACAACGTCAGGGTTTCCGGGCCGGTGGAATTTGAGGTGCAGGAGATGAAAGATGTGTTGATTCTGTGTGGGTCGTTGGAGAGGGTGGAGACGCCGTGGAATAATGGGAATGGGTCGGAGAATTCCTCCAGAACTGGCTGGAGCATGGATTGCTACACCGCGGCTTCCCTTGTATCCGGTGGATCGTCCTTTTTTCATCCTAAGCTTAGTTTTTGCTCACCCTCGATCGAGGTTTACATAGCGGGATGCTGTTCCGGTGTGCCGGTGATCCTGACGAAGACTATTCAGGTTAGCCCACGAAAGAAGTTGTTGAGGCAGGGGATGCTGGATGCTATTCCGGAGGATGAGGAAATCTGGAAGGATCAAAGGAGTGTTAATGGATTGGTTCTACAACGTAAAACACCGGTATTGCAACCTCATACTTGTCTTATTTATCTCATTTTGGCTCTTCCATGTCTTCTATATAGGAATGTGGTTGTGTTAATCTTTAGGTGTTTTAGTGATTTCCAATGGTGTGACTTAACTATTTTGTTGGTATGCAAATGCTTGGCAGTCTAATACTAGAGAAATAATTATTATGGGTATCAAATTATCAATCCTTTGGGGTAATATAGTATGCTGGTTTCTTACAGCATTTAGGTTTCTCTAACAATCTCATATTTTAATGATGACAGGATCCTGTTTCAGAATAATAATCTTAAAGAGTAAGATTTGAAATAGGCTTATTGGTAAATTTGAAAGGATGGCACAATTTTAGCCACTTGTTTATATTATCCTAAAATAAAATTAAAAAAAAAAAATCCTATTTGACATGAATTTGGCATAATGGTTGTGAGAATGATTGATATTCTCTATTAGGTTGAGAGTATCGCTGAAATATTGCATTATTGTGTGTAACTTACATTAGTTATTTTAACACAAGTTTCGAAAAAAAAATCATAAATGATCAATATATGTTAAGTAGACCAATTCTTTTTCATAAAAATATAGAGTAGTTTTAAATGGGTAAACAAATGAAGTTTTCTAAGAGTAAATTAAGTTAAAGAATTGGCTAGAATTGAATTGATGTTTCAAATTGTGGTATTAAATTACCAACTTAAAAAGTTTTGCTACAATGTGTACATCGTATAAGCCATTTGAAATAATGAAATATCCTATTAGAGTTTCCTGGATTGGCAGGCAGCCCCTGAATCTGTTGTCATGTGTGACAGCTATGGAAAATTGTCTGCAATTATTCTAGGAGTCATATGTGAGTTGAGACATCAACAGAATTTAGTCTACAATTAGACATGGGGCATATCATCTTATGTGAAGCACATGCATATATGAAGGTTGAGTAGGATAAATGAAAAATTGAAGAACTTTCCTCCTTCATATTGAAGTACTGGATACATGAGCCTTTTTTAATATTTTGTTTATTAATCACGAAGAAAAAAGAATAAAACTGGAGGGGGGCACAAGTCCTTTCCTCCTTGCTTATGAGTGGATGTGGCATTCTCATCCCTATGCAAACCAGACAATCAGACATAAGCACAGCCTAGTAAAGCAACAAATAAGGATGACTCTTCCTTATAAGGCTTAAAAGGAAGTCTAAACCTTCTGAATCTGAGGTTATAACCACCTTTCTATATTCAATTAGTTGATGAACCTACTTTGAAATAACTTTGCCCTTTCTTTTCTTTTATGCATATCTCGGTAGGCACAGTGAGAGGTTTTTATGATAAATGCCATTGTTGAAGACTTGTGCTATATCAGCTATGTCAGGGTCTATGCTCTGATCTGATTCAGAATTCTTGTATTGTCATTGAATAAGTTTGGAGAAAGATTCCCTTTATCAATGTTTTTCTCTACCTCTACTATGATCCACTTCGCAAGTGAGCCTCTCAGTTTCATGTAAATGGATTCGTATGAATATTAAGGATAAAACCCTCCACTTTTGTCAACCTTACTCAAAACTTCCTTCTGTAGTTGGGCGTCCAAGCTTTTGGCCAATATTAGGGTCCACCACTTCAGTTTCTATTTATGGTTTTGCAATTCTTGCAATGACTGCTGGGAGAAGTGGTTGTGCTCCACTGCTCCTATTACAATTAGTGGTGCTTCAAAGGGCAGTTCCCTCTGGAAAGGGGAGGGCTCCTAGCCCCTAGGGTGCTTCAATGACAAAACCACAAGCAGCTAAAGTGCTAGTAGCTTCCCTAGATAATTTTTTAGGGCAATAAATTGCCATATAGCTTCAATGGCCTCTGATAGGGATGTATTTGTCAGATGGATTGTGGAAACCCAAATATTTTTTTTTTTTTCTTCTTTTTATGAGAATATATTGGCTTAATGAAAAACCTTGTATTCTTCATCTACTATTTCGTTATAATTTTCTATAATTGCCAATGTATAGAATTCTGTAATTTTTAAAGTATAACCATAAGGGTTGAGCAAAGATCATCGGATCATCCAGATGCTGATTTGATAATATTTTGTGAATGCCCTATAATCCAACAAGTAACACAACAGACTGAAAGACTGGAATCTGAATGATCACTTATTTCCTATTTGCTAATGCTTTACCTGTTTGTGCCCTCTCTCTCTCTCTCTCTCTCTCTCTCATGTCATATGCTCTCTTCCCTTCCATATGACAAGGTGCTATCTTTATATTCTATTTTATTTATGTATTTTGTCTTAAAATTTTTGCTTTGGTTTCATTGGCAGATAGCAGAGGCAGATATGGATGATTACGGTTTAGATGAGAAAGCTGTACATGGCTCATATTATGACGGAATGTACCCTGGTGAAGATGGGCAATTGTCCTGGTTTAATGCTGGCTTGAGGGTTGGCGTTGGAATAGGCCTTGGGATGTGCGTAGGCGTTGGTATTGGTGTAGGACTTCTTATGCGATCTTATCAAGCAACCACCAAGAACCTACGAAGGAGGTTTTTCTAGATCTGCTGGTTTCAATGCTAAGAGTGGTAATATCCCATCCAGATTGGAATTGTAAACCTTTTCTGATCTTTTTTGAGTATTAGCAAGCATCAAAGTGGCTCTGAGGACATGAAGATTGGAAATGTGATCATTTTGGACATGTTTTGGCAGCTGCTCAAGTCTTCAACCTTATATTGTAAGTTGGCTATAGTGAAAGGATAGTAGGCAGCAAATAATAGCAATGATGTTAGTAGTGGGGTTGTTTAAAGTGTATGTAGTTGAGCATTTGTGTAAATATTTGCTTGGTTAGAAGAGTGTTTTTGTTGTTAGTGCCATTCTCTTGTGATTGGGTTTGCATAGCTTACATTTGTGATTCAATTTTCCCCTTAAAAAAGTGATGAGGTAGGGTAAAGTGTGTGAAGCTAGTTCACATTGATGTATATTAGTCTTTGAAAGTGTAGTTGAGTTACAAGTGGGATGTATATTTTGTAGTTCCTAGTACTAGTAGTAATAGTAGTTGTAGGTAGGTGATTGATAATTTTGAAGTGAAAATAGCAGCATTTTCAGAACGCAGTTATATTGCACATTTTGTCCCACCAATTACCAATTTTCATCTCATCTTTTTGCATGTGGAGAGGAAAAACCATAGCCTATATAGGGATCAAACATTCAGAGTCCCCCGCTCGGAACAAATAAGCAGACCATCCGTAGTGGTGGAGGGGAAATTATACTATGTACCAAGTCTATCTTGCATTTGTAGATGATGATCCAAAATGACATTCAGATTATGTATTTACATTTGTAGTAAGGCAGACACAATTTTTAGATCAGAGTTTATAATGTAATGCAAGGTGGAATCTGATTCATTCTTCCCAAAATGTTGAATCCCTAACTCCAAGGACTCTCTATTAGGACTCTATGTATATGAGTCTGTTTAGAACTTTTTATCATTGTCACACTGTGACTCTCTACTTCTTATCATTGTCACACTGTGACTCTCTATTCTATATATTCACATCATCTGATCTCATTGTAATCCAGTTCAGTAAATACAATACAATCAGTTCTCATCTGGTATCAGTAAGCTAGGGTTTTTTCTTTGTCTCTCGTCCCTATGGCTGACGGATCTGTTAATTCCTCCGAACGGACCGTGTCTGATGCTGCTATGTCGTCAAGTTCGTCGTCAATTGTGTCGCTATCCACCGCACGTCACTTCATCAGTACGAAGTTAACCTATAAGAATTATTTGTTCTGGCGTACGCAAGTCGTCCCGTTTCTTCACGGGCATGACCTAATGGGGTTTGTTGATGGTACGAAACCCTCACCGGCTGTTCTTCTTGCTGCCGACGCTGACACTGCCGACGCCATGCCACGGCCGAACCCCACCTATGCTGTTTGGATGCGTCAAGATCAAGCATTGTTGTCCATGCTTGTTTCCTCCCTCTCCGACGAGGTCATGCCAATCGCCGTCGGACGTCGCACGAGTCATGCCCTTTGGGAGGCCATTGTTCAAACGTTGTCGTCTTCCTCCCGCGCGTTAAACCTTCTCGGCCAGTTGCAAGGACTGGACCAGGGTGATTCTTCGGTTGCGGATTACATCGGGCGAGCTCAGGTGATTGTTGAAGAGCTCACCCTCGCCGGCCGCGTCGTCTCCCTCGACGATCAGAATCTCTTTGTTTTTCGCGGCTTGAGACCGGAATTCCGTGCCCTCACCGCGTCTCTTGCCGTCCGTGGGCAGCCGGTCATGCTCCAGGAGTTGGCGGACTTCCTCGGCGCCCAGGAATTTATCGCCAGCCGTGATTACGGCGGTGCTCCGGCGGCTCTTGCTGTTCAGCGCGGTGGCGGCCGATCAGGTCGCGGAGGTCAGGGGGTGAGGGCCCGGCCAAGTGCTGACAGGTAGGGCACCCGGGAGGGCGACACGTGGTTGCTACGTGGGTGACATGCCGGACGGCCGGACTTGTGTCTCCGGCTCCACGGCTATAAATACACGCGATAGCAACAGTGTGGGGGGCTTTTGGACGATCGATAGGTTGTTGTTAGAGAATCCCGACCGCAGTCAGTCGGTACTCAGAACAGCCATTTAGATTGTACTTAGGGCCTTCACCTTGATCAATAAAGATATTTAATTGCTTTAATTGGTCTTCTTAGTTTAATTACCGCATTACGTGGCAATTAGTACTATCATTTTGGCGCCGTCCGTGGGGACCCGTGCAGGAAAGCTAACGTCTTGACGAGCACCCGTCCTACCTATCATCATGTATCCTTACGCATACGATTTGTTCGTGACGACCAAGTGAATGCTGCGAGCTCATCCGATCACCAGTCGACCCAGTATCAAGGTCAGACAGTCGACCTTAATCTCAACCTTTCACCACCACATCCAGCATCTCAGTATCCGGCCCCCCAACAGCTGGTCAACTACATTCAACCGGGATATCCAACACCCGGTCCGCAGTCCCAGTTCCCCGGGCAGTACCCTTACCCGGTCCCACCTCCTCCATACGGGTACTGGGCCGCTCAACTGATGTTCTATCCAATCGGCTATCCACCCTACACGCCTGCGTACACGGCTCCATCCGCCGCCCCTCCAATCTACCTGACTGCTCAAGTAGAGCCGCAGCATCAGCCCACTTCCCGGGCTCGACGCTCGGCTCGTTCGCGGTTGGGGTCGGGGGGTGCTGATGCGATGGAGGTACCACGGCAGGCCCCAGAAGCACAATCGGAGGTTTCGGCCCAAGCGGAGGACCCCGAAGAAGTCAACTGGGCGGTAGCATTCGGCCATCTCCGACCGGCGATGCGGCAACGTTTGGGACCACAGGGCCCGAGCCGGCAAACTGCAGATGTACAGATGCAGGAGGCCAGCCAGGAGGCTTCATTCGGGCATAGCGGGTCGAGATCTCACCGTCGATGACGCGCTCGGGAGTCAACCCAAGCCCAGACGGCCGAGCTCAACGAGACCCGAGGATTACTCTACAACCTCCAGGCGGAGTTTGCTCAATTCCGGAACGAGCATTCGGTGAGACCCCTGATCGACCAGTCGTCCTTATTAAGGACACCCTTTAAAGCGGAGATAATGGCCCAGCCATACCCGCTCGATCTGAAAGTCTCGGGGGAGAAGAGTTACGATGGCCGTACGGACCCTGAGGTCCACGTCAATGATTACTACGGCAACATGATGATGAAGGGCGTGACAGATGCCGTGATGTGCAGGGCTTTCTATTCCACGCTCACCGGTCGGGCGGCGGAATGGTTCCGAACGTTACAGCCAGGGTCTATTGCCGATTTTAATACCCTGGCGATCAAGTTCGTGAAGAAGTTCATCACCTCCAAGGTGGTGAGGAAGCCCCATATGTATCTAGAAAAGGCCAAGCAGCTCGAAGGGGAGAGCTTGACCGATTTCCTTGTCAAGTGGAAGGTTGCGGTCGGGGAAGTCGAGCCAATGGACGATGCCACCGCCACCCACATGCTTCATATTTCTCTCCGGGCGGGCTACCTCTATCAGGATTTCATCCTCCACCCCCCGGCCACATATGAAGAGGCCCTTCGAAGGGTCACAGATTATGCTAACGCCGGCAAGGCGAACGCTGTGAAACGCTCGCAGGAGGTCGGGTCCTCGTCCTGTAAACTGGCCGGCCGGGCGGACCATCGATCGGGTAACGACCATCCCCGATCCCGCACCAGGCCTGGTGAGTTTACGGCCTTAAACCGATCCGCGGCGGAGGCCATGCAGTACGCACAGTCCTGCAATCTCATAAAACTCCCCCATCCCGATCAAGACGGCCCTGACAAGAGTAAGCATTGTGCTTACCATCGATGTGCCGGGCATGACACTGAGGAGTGTACCCACTTGCGCCAACTCTTGGAGGATCTTCTCAATCATGGAAAGTTGGACAAGTGTGTGGGGAAGAGAGAAGAAACAAAGAAGAATACCGATCGCAGAGATCATCGACGATCCCATCACCGCTCCGATCGCTCTGATCGTGATGGACGTTCCGATCGGTCGGGTCAGGACCGAAGAGATGACCGGAGAGATGACCGTCGAGACGACCGACGAGATCCTGGCCCCCCATCAAGTAGCCGACCGGCAGGCAAGCCGACCATCCACGTAATCTTTGGTGGATTGGAGGACGCTTCCCGACCGAGGGAGAACTGCCCGGTCGCCATCGTAGATTCCCGAGACACCGGGAAGAGACAGAAAATGGAGCTCATAACCTTCTCCCTTGAAGATCAACCCAGCAGTGGTGACCACGGTATGGAGGCTCTCATGGTCACTATTGACGTGAAAGGGACGGATGTCCAGAGGGTTATGGTAGACACTGGGAGCAGTGTCGACGTCCTTTATTTGGACGTGTTCGAAAAGCTCAACCTCGACAAGCGCGAACTGACTCCGGTCGGCGTACCCTTGTCGGGATTTACCGGGGCTCTCATCTACCCCGAAGGAAAAATTACGCTCCTAGTTGAGATCGGCACCCCCCCGAAGTCGATCAAGACCAAGATGGAGTTCGTTGTGGTCAATCTGCATTGCGTCCACAACATCATCTTGGGCCGACCCGCGATCATGAAAATTAGTGGGATAATTTCAATGCCCCACCTGTGCATGAAATTCCCCACCCCTAATGGGGTCGGTGTGGTCCATGGCGATGTCCAATTCGCCCGGAAGTGTTACACCCGAGCGGTCAATAGGCGTGATGCTAGTACGTCTTCCCGGGTGAACACGATCGCCAAGGAGGTCTCCAACGACCGGAAGGAGCAACCCAGGCCTTCCGAGGAAATAGAAGAAGTTCCCCTGTCCGAGGACCGACCAGACAGGAAAATCAAGATTGCCCGGGCCCTCACCCCCGAGCTCCGAGCGGAAGTCTTGGCAATAATCCGAGAGTTTACCGATATCTTTGCATGGGGGCCCGAAGACATGCCTGGGATCGACCGAACGATAATTTGTCACAAGCTAGCCGTCGATCTCGCAGCTAAGCCGGTCGTGCAAAAGACTCGGCACCTTTCATTCGATCGCCGCGAGTTCTTAGAGAAGAGGTCAAGAAAATGGCGGCGATCGAGCACATCCGACCGGTGATCTATCCCGAGTGGGTGGCCAACATTGTTCTTGTTCCTAAGCCCCCAGCTTGGAGGATGTGCATTGTTTTTACCGATCTCAATAAGGCCTGCCCGCTCGACCCATATCCACTACCGAGTATCCACCAGATGGTTGACGAGACGGCCGGGGCCGAGTTGATGAGCTTCATGGATGCATTCAAGGGATATCATCAAATTATGATTCACCATGAAGACGAGAGCAAAACAGCTTTCGTGACCCCGGACGGGTTGTATTGCTACCGAGTGATGCCGTTCGGCCTCCGTAACGCGGGAGCGACCTATTAGAGGATGGTCAATATGCTCTTCGCCGATCTGCTAGGCCGAACGATGGAGGCGTATATTGACGATAAGCTGGTCAAGAGTCGGGACCGATCCGACCACACTCGCGACCTCCGGGAATGCTTTCACATCATGAGGAGGTACCAGTTGAGGCTGAACCCAACCAAGTGCACATTTGCGGTTCAGACCGGGAAATTCCTCGGCTATATG